TTTCTCTTCTGTTTTCCCCACAGTAGCAGGAACTGGTCTGCTGTCGCTGAAGCTGGCATCATGGAGCAGCCAGTGCTAGGTCTAGCCATCTTCTTCTGGACGTTCTAATACTTGTTTTCTTATGATACAGAGGAGTATTTTATTTGTTTCTTGTCTGAGCACTGTAGATATTTCCTAAGGTACTACACAATCCTACATGCTTTAAGAACATGAATTTGAAGGAAGCACGACTTGAGTCCAGGCAGTTTTAATTACTTCGCGTTTCATTTTCAGATCCACAAAAGACTTGATTCATCAGTAGCAAATGTCCAGCCACGTAGCTTGTTTTTCCACATGCCTACACCATTTATACTGCCTCAGATACTTTATTTTTTCTTTTTGGATAACAATAAAAGTTAGGTTTTTGTTGAATGTAGGAGTGGTTGTTGACTATAAATTTTATACTAATCATGGGCTTATAATATCATGTAACTTGGTTTTTTAAGATATTGAACCTATTACCTTACAAAGAAGGATAATGCGGTAAAGGCAAATGGGTGAGTGATCGGGCAGTATATTAGGGCAAATGTCTTTCAACGTATTTCCCTAATGTTTTGGCTAGAAACATTTTCCTGGCAAGGGACTTCCCAGTTGATGCTCCAGGGGCCTCTCCCAGCAATTCTTTGCCAACCAGGCCTGCAACGACCCAAAGATGTGACGCAGCTGGGACCCTCCAGTGCCAGGAATCAATTACCGGCCCCCCCCCCCCCCCCCCAGCGCTGCTGTCTCCGGGGCTTTGCCCAGTGATGCTGAAGGAACCGTGCAGTGCTGAGCATCAAACTGGAGTCGAACTAGGCTGTGCGTTAATTCTTCTCTCCAGCCCTTGAGTGATGTTTTAACCTGAGAATTTCTTCATGTTTATGAGTGTTTTGTTATTTTTAAAAGACTAAGGGGAAAAAAAAACAATCCTTTACAATCCTATCATGGTTTTATCTGCATCACAGAAGTGACTCTGAACTACAGGTTTAAATGTCAAGAATCATTTTTCCTAAAGCAGTTTTTAATAATCCTTTTGATTTCAATATTAGGTACTTAAATTGTTCCCTGTGGTTTTACAACATATAGCATTTGGTATACATACTTTAGATTTGTATACATAAATTTTAGTTACTGCTTCACACTTATTAGCCTGATGAAACAAGGCATTGGAAGTACAAATAATACTCATGTGGTCTACCATGATGCTTATTTGCCTATAAATAGTTAAAATGTAGCTAATGATGATAAAGTACTTGATTTATGTTTCTAATGACATTCAATAATTTTCTCTTGATTACAACGTAATATTCATGGGAAAATTGGAAAAATACAGGAAAGAATAAAGAAAAAAACAGCCATTTAAAACCATTCCTTAGGACCCTGTCTCTTGCTGCCTTTGTTTTTCTAGTTCTCTTTAAGTGTGGCTATATATTTACAACACAAGCTTTTAAAGCATAAAAGAAAATACTGCTAAATACTCTTCAGATCTCAAAGTGAAGGAAGTCATATTCATTTTAAAATAAAAAGAAACCCACACTAAAAACACAACCCTTTGGATTCCATTTCTGGGAGGAAGTAATTTAAGCACAAGCTGAGGAAAATACCACTTTTTCAGTTTTCTTCTGAGAAGTTAGAAATGGATAGTACCTGCACGGTATCATTTCACCTGGCAGATTGTTTCCTTTTAGCAAAGCATATTCTTAAATCTTTAACAGAATAAAACTATAGAACTATAAAAATTTATAGAACTATAAAATTATAGAACTGTAAAAATTATTCCACTTTTTGTCAGTCACATTACCAATTTTTAATGAAAATTAGGAGCTTTACTATGTCTTAAGTAAAAACTCTATTTCAGTTCTAATCTTCACCAAGTTTACTTCTAAACTCTTGACCCAAACTGACGCTGGCAGTCCTGAGCATTGAAATAGGCAGGTGTGCAGAGTATGGCTGAAGGAACGTAATTTACAAACGAAACCATCACTCCCCTGAATAATTGAACATTGGGTTGTCATGTTGCCATCGCGGACTTGTGCTGACCTGGACATGGTCACTTTTTATAGTTGGGGTTCAAGATGCAGTGAGTGGATTTGGCTGTCCAGGGATTCTCACTGGGGATTCTCTTGGTACTGACCTCTTGCTAGGGTCTTGCAAAGAGCAAATGGCAAAGCATATTAAGGCAGGTTCACTATCGCTGTAACATAAAAATTTCAGAATGTGTGCAGCTTTTTTTTGTATTCTTCACTCTTTGTCATTCATTTCCCAATAAGACAAAAATAATTTTGTTTGTAGAGACAATTGTCTTAGACCTTTGTCTGCATTTCATATTTTGTAAAACTGTTGCGAGAGCCCCATCTAGCGTCTGAAACATCCACTCATAAAACATGTGTCAGTCAGAAAGGAAGTTTTAGGAATTAGCGTAAATTCCTAAAATGTTTTTCCTTTCACATCTGTACATAATTTTTTAAGCTTTTCTTTTTTGTGTGGTGTAGAAGAGTCATTTTTCTTACTACAAAAGATTAGTGGCAGTACAGTTAAGGTGTGGATTAAGGGCCGTAGAAAACAGGAAAGATCAGAATGCCATTTCTACATTTTTAGAAGTAGTTGTTTTTAAGTGACCTGGAATAAGACCAAACTATTCAGTGTTGTTTTAGTTGACATTTGTTTCTGAATTAAATACAGCTTAAAAAGCCTCTTTTTTGGCATTCTTTATACCATCAGATCTTAAGAATTCTTTCCAGTTTCTGATAGTTTCATTGGGAAAGTGGCTTTAAAATAGAGCTTGATTCTCTTCGTGGAAATGTTCTGGCTTTTTTGGTTACTATCATTACCATATCTTCTGTAAATAAACTCCCGAGCTTGTGAACGCATGCTAGTGGCAGATTGTCGTTTTACATAGTTCCCATTGTTTCCCAAGCAGGGAAAACCAAGATCTCAAACTGCTGGCTTTCTGCCACCTCTCCACCTAAACACAGCACTCAGACACGCAGCCTTCAGCTAAGGGTCTTCTGAAGATTTACGGAAATCTTCTCTTTTGACCCCTGGGCTTTTTGATAGCTTGAGCAAGGAAAGTAGTGTGCAGAGAAGGGTGGTGTTTATGAAGGCTCTTGTAAAAATATTTCATGTACATGGACCAGAGATTAACTCCTTTCATCTTGTTCTCCAACAAATTAAACAATGCAAACAGATTTCAAGTGCATTCTTGGTAATGAAATGCTTGGGTGAATTATAATCCTAATTGTTCTTGCTCGTTCCCACAGCTGCATTTTGACACTTTCAAGTGCCTAAGCCAGGCATTCTTCAGCCATAGGATAAACAAAATCACTCTAAAATCCATCATTTTGTGGCATCTTGCCTTGCAGACCTGTCACTGCCTTGATTTGCTTTTAGTTGCACTGTTGACAAAATTAGGAAAAAATGTCATTAGGTTTAAAGATAAAATTATTAATCAGTAGAACCACTGCTGCATTTTTATGAAATTTTCTTAGTAATAGAATTAAGTTTTGAAGGAAGCAGGGGAGATTATGGACTAATTTTAGTCCCACGGAAATAACTTTCATTTTATCAGCCTAGTTGATATTTCAGAAGGGAGCTCCATCCAAGATTTGCAGGAAAGTAAAAGGATCTCACTTTTTCCCTTAGAATAGTGTTCAGCACATAAGTCTAGAGACCAGATTTAGTCTTGACTTAACAAGCATATTTATATGCATAATGAATCCTTTGATATTTGGCCCAAAATTGTTTATTGGTCTGTCCTTAAATTTAAAGAAATTGAAGTGTTTGCAGTAAATTTGAAATGTATATTGCTTTATATTTGAGAAAGGGATTCAAATGTCAGTTTTAACCTATCTTACTTAAAAAGTAGAACTTTGTAATTACTGAAAAGCTATATGCTATTAGGCTTTCACATTATGTTCTTTCATGATTTTCTAAGGTTTAAGTGGAAGATTTGATTACTATATTCACAGGCATCTGTTGTAATAGCTCCTTAGATGTCAAATACAGCTGTGGTGTGTCACAGTTTCATAGTACTTTTATATTCTTCAGAATGTTTGAATTCTTAAATCTATATAAGCATGAGAAATTCTGCTTAATAATCACTTTACCATCTCATCTTAATTTTCAAGTGTTCTTTTCAGTCAATCCTTACTAAAATATTACTAATTTTAATTATAATAGATGATTATTAGTTCTAATAGTAAATATTAACATTTATTGGCTATTTTCTATATGTGAGACTCGGTGTTTTAATGTACCCACGATAACTCCCCTTTAGGGTAGTATTCTTCTTTCCAGTTTACACTTGAAGAAACTAAGATTAAGAGAATTCAGATAACATTGTCAAAGAGCACAAAGAAACGGATTGCACTCAGTTCTTTCTGACATCTCGAGTCCATGTTCTAGTTACGTTCGCTCTGTAATTTCCTGATCAAACATACCCATTTAATGGCACGGAAAGTGTCTATGAACCAAGTGGCAGAAAGTCATAGGATTAGTCAAGTTCAAATTCATAGTAGTTCTAGACATAAAATCAGAAACATTCAATTTTTTTTAAAAGCAATTGATGCCCGCTATCATATACTTTTGCTGATTAATTTACAGAATTTCTGTGAACAGGAAGCCCAAGAGTGCCCCGGAACCAGGGATTGGTCAGGGAACTGACAGTTTAGACTGCGGTGCCTGTTCAGTTTCTGTTTTAATTTGAGCCCAAGCCATTTTTCACTGGATTTCGGCCAGCTCTGATGTAATCGCTCATCTGTATTCTTGAAAGCTAATGGAATAGTTAAACCTTCTTACGGATAAGTTAAATGTGTTCTCTTGTGTCCTTGGGTACCTTGTGCACAAGAGCGGTTTTCTCTCCCACCCTGTCGAGGCACCTCATTAGGGCACCCGGTAGTGTCATTATTAAGTTTTCATGTGTTTCTCAGTTTTGATGCTAATCTTTGTGCGTATGTGCGTGCATTTTTCCCCCCTCTCTGCAGCACCAATGTGGTTATGAATTATTCAGAGATTGAGTCTAAGGTTCGAGAAGCAACGAATGACGATCCTTGGGGACCTTCTGGGCAACTCATGGGAGAGATTGCCAAGTAAGTGATAATTTGACTCAGCAGTGCAGAAAGAATCCAAGTATTTTAGCATACACACAAAAGTGAAATTTGCTTTCAGTTTCAAACAGTTTTGCTGCCAGAAACGTGTTTATATTATCACTCATATAATAGGGGAGGAAATTTTATACAGGGCATGCCCTTAAAAATTAGCTCAACGTGAGCTGTAGCAGTAGTACAGCGGTAGGAGCTTGCCTTGCCCTCAGCTAACCCGGCTTCCATCCCTGTCACTGCGTATGGTCCCCTGAGCTCCTCCGGGAGTGATCCCTGAGCACCACTGGGTGTGGCCCAAACCACCCCCAGGCCCCCAGATTAGCTCAAAGAGTAAAACAAAGGCTTTCTTTTCCAGTGAAGCTTAGAGACTTACTGTACCTTACCATATAAAATTTTGACAAATACGTATAATTGGAATGAAGTTTCAGAAATTTTCTTCTTATGAACATCTGGACCACTGCCAGTGAATGAACAACTTGTAAAATAAGCTATTAGTGGGGCTTATGAATATGCTAGATATTGTTTAAAATATGGAAAATATTTGAAGAAGCATATCATCTACTTTTTTTTTTTTAATTAAGCTGATTAAATTTTTTTACGCTCTTTGGGAAAGCACATTATCTTAGAACAAGCCTGCCATCTACTGTCAAAATAAATACATTGCAAAACCTTGAGAAAATTGTCTTCTTTTTGCAGGGCCACATTTATGTATGAACAATTTCCAGAACTTATGAACATGCTTTGGTCCCGAATGTTAAAAGACAATAAAAAGAATTGGAGAAGAGTTTATAAGGTATGGGCGTTGGATTGTCTCTATAATTTGTCAAAAGGAGTTGAAAACAAATGCTTGAACTTTTAAGATAATGGGTGCATAAGTGATTTTGAAGCATGTAGCATCCTTGACTATTCGAAAGCCCTAAAAAGAAGAGGCCAGTTAGATTGCTTAATGGGGGGGGGCCCAGGTTTAATCCCCAGCACCACACAGTCGCCCCCAGTACCCCCAGGAGAAATCTCTGAGCCAGTAATACTCCCTGAGGACCACTGAATGTTGCCAGCCCCCCCACCCCCAAATCAAGGGTAAAAGAAATAGAATTGCTAATGTGTGTCAGTTTCCTGGTTACCATAAACAATTACTAACGTAAAGTGCTTAAAATTAATATTTATAAACTTCTAAATACTGGCTATATTTATTAAAATTTACTACTAAAAATGCATGAAGTGAAATGGATGCCTGTTTAATGTATGAGCAGTTAAGATGAAGACCTATGGTTTGTCTTCTGTACATAAAAATATGCCTGATTTGTAACAGTATTGCACAGTATTCTGCACCAAAATATATATTGACTTAAAACACAGACTCTAATACATTAAAGGTTCTCAAGTATCTATCTGCACATATGTATTCTTTATCTGACTCATTTCATTTCGTTCTGAGCTTGTCATATAATGTAGATATATTATGTGACATCTGTTCTTTCATTCCCACATATTTTCATGCCACAAGAGAGTTAAGTTTTTCTGTGCCTTCCAAATGGTACATAACATTCATTTGAAACTTTGACAGCTATATTTCTGACTTCCAGGATTGAAAACCAAATGCTCCATTTAATTCCCATTGTTTTGATGTTCTTTAAAAAAAGGAATTTTTTTTTTTCATTTTTTTTAGCTTATGCGGCAGTTGAGATAGTTGGAATTTCTGTGAATTAACTGTGTTCTTAAAAATTAGATTTAAAAAATTAAATCTTGTGTAAAATGACTTTTTTACAGATTATTCTTAGAAGGCTGAGATTTTTATTTTTCCCTCCCTCGATTTCATCAACCTAATTCCATTTTCACAGACACAGTTATCTTTATGCAGTAGGTGTTTCCCAGCAAGTTCAGTTTTGGGTGCATAAGTCAGTGATGGTCACTTGTGCAGATGTCCCCCCCATCTTGTTCAAGAACATTTTCATCACCACAACAGAAATCCCAGGAACATCCCCCTCCCCATTTGTTTCTTGAAACAAAAGCCACATGATTAACACCCAAAACATTCAATTTGATCTGTGAAAAATGCTAAAGGATCACGTAATTGCCAATAATTCTTTTTTTACTGATGGTTCTAACAGAAATTTCCATACTATCCAGATAAGTTCCATACTAGCCAGCTTTCTGCAACCTTATTGTGTATGTTTTCCTCTCTCTACCTCTATCTCTGTCTCTCTCTCCCCCTCCCTGCCCCCCCCTCCTTTCCCTCTGTCCCAGTCCCCGCTTCCACCCTCTACCCGGGTGCTTGGGGGACTATGCCCCAGTCTCTTTGATGCCCTAGCTAGAAGTATGAGCCTGATCGTTTGATTGCTCCAGCCCACCAGGGTGACCCCAGCTGTGCTAGAAAAGCTTGCATTTGGGTATTTTTTTTAACTTCAGAATTACTTTTTTTGTTTTTTAATATGTGATGACAAACCATAGGTCTTCATCTTACTTGCTCATACAATAAACAGGTATCTATCCATTTTACTTTACTTACATATATATGAAAGTTCTTACAGTATCCAGTGAACCATCTAAAATACTATTTTTGTTATATAAGAGGACCTGCAAATTGATAATAGAGGCTTTGGACTATGCAGATGAGTCTAAACATATATTACTCATTTGCGAATGTCGAGATTATATTTTTGAACATTTACTGAGAGCTCCTGGAGAATTTATTTCATTAAATCATTCGGTGCTTTATATTTTTACAGTCACTGCTGCTCCTAGCTTACCTCATAAGGAACGGATCAGAGCGTGTTGTTACAAGTGCCAGAGAACACATTTATGATTTGCGATCCCTGGAAAATTACCACTTTGTAGGTGAGCAATAGAAAAACCTTATAAGCAAATTAAAACAGTAGTTGGAGTTGTCAGTCACCTGAACCAGCTTAGAAGCTTCTCCGCTCTAATTAGAATGTGACTGTTGCGGGTTGTGTGACGAGTGCAGAATCCAAGACGTGGGGCCCTAGAGTATTAATTAGTGAAGACAAGAACTTGCAGAAAAGACTGGCTAATAACAACAGAACCAACACAACATGAGTGTTCGGGTTTATATTAAAATATGCACTGGAGACTGGTCCCCTGTGGTGTCCATAAAGGAATAGCTTTAATCATATGGGAAGAAAAGGTTAGCGCTCCAAAACACACACATCTGTTTGAAGCTGGGTTTTTTTCTTCCTCCCACCAAATAATATTTACTGTGCAAAGCCAGCAAGGCCAGAGTGTGTTTTGAATGTGAACGAGGCTCCAGAACGAACCACATTTCATTTTGTAGCATTCCCCAGTTGAAAGCACTTTAAAATTTCCATTTTTCAGCGACACTAAATCCCGGTAATTAGTGTCCCCAAACTTGTATGGAGGAAATCTAGGGGGTTGGGTGCTGCTCTCACTAAAATGTTAAACTAGTCTTTGTTTTGTTAAAATACTAGAGCAAAAGAGAGTAACACTTGAATGGATATAAGTTGATTTTGTAACTGGAAATCCTGTTGAGTAGATCTTTCATTGTTCCTGCTGGGGTCTGTGGCCAGGGCCTTTTAAATTCATCTTATTCTTCTGGATCAGTGTTTGTAGTCAAAGCTTAGAATTTGCCTATGAGACAAATTAGTAATAACGATTTGCCTTTTAATTGAAAAGTAGAAGCTCTTTAGTTTTTTTATTGTCAAAATTTCATGTCTCGGTGAAAAGCTCTCTATTTTTTTTTCCCTCTCTTATCCTTACAGATGAGCATGGGAAGGATCAAGGTATAAACATTCGCCAGAAGGTGAAAGAATTGGTTGAATTTGCCCAAGATGACGACAGGCTTCGTGAAGAACGAAAGAAAGCTAAGAAGAACAAAGACAAATACGTGGGGGTTTCCTCGGACAGTGTTGGAGGATTCAGATACAGTGAGTAGCAGAGACAGGCTGGCATCGAGGAATTAACAGGCCTTTTGGGGCGGGGGCTGTTAAGAAACGCTGGGATGTATGACCAAGAGCCAGTTTTTTCGCTTCAGAAATAGGCTACAAAAAAATCTGTAATCCTCATTTTGGCGCCCAATTTCGTGCATCTTGGAATCTTGTCTAATTTTTCCTTTAATGGGTCCAGAGTATGATTTTAACCATTACTAGCTGATTAAATGACTGCAAACTTCAAGCTAACGTGCAGACTAAAACAGGTCAGTGCCCTTCTCTCTCGGTGTTAGTTTTTTAAGAAGGGGTTGGGTGATCTTTCTTAACTTTTTCTTCAGAGCATAAAAATAAAAAGCTTGAACAAGAGAAGAAACTTTTCTAATTTGAAGCCAACTCAGCTCTATTTTTGGCCAGAAACATAAGCTACTTAGAGATCAGCCCGGGCTGCCCTTCCCCTTAATTAAGCACTGCATTAATTTGCCATAGGAAAAGATGAATGACAGTATCATCAGGTTTTCATCTACGACTATTGCTTGTTTTTTTCCCTGTAAGGAAACAGGGAAATCAGATCAAAACATTGATTTCTTATGTTTATTTTTAATATAATAATATATTTCCTTGAGACGGGGCTGGGTGTTTGAAATGGCCAGAGGAAGGGCTCTCCTCTTTCTCCTCACGTCCCTTTGCACTTAGCGTGAGCTCTTAAAGATGATGCCCTGGTCAGCTGAAGACAGGTCAGCGCTGTGTATCTTAGCAACTGCATAGAGGGCTCTCTGCACCCTTCACCTGTTGAAAGTTTATTTTCGTGTTATTCTGAGTCCTTTCCAGCCCTCTTCAGCCACTCATGTTTATAAAAATCACCTTGGCTTAAGTTTTGTCTAGTAAATGCAAGTTGATAAAATTCTTACATCAGATGTTTTATATAAAGACCTTCAATTTCTTATTTTGTGACTACCTGTAAAATAATACCTTCCCTGCTGTGCTCTCTTTCTGACATCCAAGAAAAAAAATACTGCATTAAATTAGCAGTTGAAGGATGTTGTAACAGCAGATATCCATTTTCTTATTTGTGTCAGTATCACGTACAAGTTCTTAAATGGGCAAGATTTTTTTTTTTCTTTTTGGGTTACACCCGGCAATGCACAGGGATGAATGACTCCTGGCTCTGCACTCAGGAGTGACTCCTGGCGGTGCTCAGGGGACCATATGGGATGCTGGGAATCGAACCTGGGTTGGCCGAGTGTAAGGCAAACGCCCTACCCGCTGTGCTACTGCTCCAGCCCCTTAAATGGGCAAGAATTTTTTAAGTAAAACATATAAATATGTTTTGAACATTGTTTTGTTTTTTCTCTGTAATTTTTTTTTTTTTTTTGGTTAAAGTGGGGAGAATATTGTATTTAGACTGTTTCCCCAGGAAGTCACATATTATGTCGCTTTTTCAAAGTTGCTATCATAGTTTTACTCAAAAGTAAAAATTGAGTAGAAATTGTTACTTGTAGCTCATTTCCTCTTTCTACTTGTATCCCTCATTGCTAGCACACTGAGCAATTTTATCAGATGAATTTAGAAAACTATTTTCAGACTCATTCACAAAATGCACTAATTGTACCATCTGCATTGGGGATAAAGTTGAATGTCCTGTGTGTTTACCTCACTGCATGCTTCATAGATGTTATTTGAAGCATGCCTAACCAACTTCTGATGATTTCGTATGTTTTTCATTTTGACATCAGATGTTTTTCTATATCCAGCTTCTTTGCTACTTCCTTTAGGATGATGTCTTTCATTTTCCCTATGAACTAGTTTCTTTTCAGAGTCTAGTTTATCAAGTTTATCACATTGTCATTGAAATGTACATACATATGATGAAAAAACATTCATTTGCTTAAGTTTTTCTAGTAAACTTCATTGCATCACATACAGAGCGAACACTGTCCAGTCTCCCTGGCCCTCGTTACATTTTCAAGAGAGTACTGTTCTCCGACGCTTTCCAATAACCAAAAATCATTAAGTGCCAAGAATGACATAGAATGCATTCAGTGATTTTTTTTTTTTTAAACAAAACTCTGTCACACTTTTGCCTGCGCTGGTTTGTATGTTGTCCTCTTGCCTTTCAGCAGCTTTTCGGGCCTTCTGGCTGTGCCATGCTGGGCACTGAGTGGTGGAAGTTTTCATAAACAAAAGCTTTTGAATCTGCATTTCTGCCACTTAATGACCGTGTGCTGTGCTTTGCTGGCTTTGTGTCGATTCAGCACTGTGGGAGCGTCCCATTTCCCTCTCAAAACTATTTTATTATCAGGAAAAGCTTTAGACTAAAGGACTCTAAAGACCCCTTTTGGATTTAATGTCCTTAAAGTTGTTTCTTTTTAATGCTTCATGTAGGTGAAAGATACGATCCCGAACCCAAATCAAAATGGGATGAGGAGTGGGATAAGAACAAGAGTGCTTTTCCATTCAGTGATAAATTAGGTGAACTGAGTGATAAAATTGGAAGCACAATTGATGACACCATCAGCAAGTTCCGGAGGAAAGACAGAGAAGAATCTCCAGAAAGATGCAGGTATTAACACTTTGTTGCCGGGGCCTCTTGGAAAGGTGCTAAATTAAGGCAGCTGGGGACTCTGATGAACGTGATCTAAAATTTAGGTTTAAAAATTGCTTTCAGTTTTTAGAACTGTTTCAGGTCTACAGAGATCATTATGAATCAGGGAGTTGGCATATAATACCCTGCACAAAGTTAACACAGTTTCTCTATCTTGCCCTGGTCCATTTTTCAACACCTGACAACCAAGCGCTGATTACTGTTCCACTATTAACTGAAGTCTGGTTTTTGTACAGTTAAATGTTATCATTAGACAATTATACAGAATAGTTTCACTGCCCTAAAAAGCTCTGTGGAACTACAAAGAATCCATAATTTGCGTGCCATCCTTGTGCGGGGGGGTACTAACCTTCTCTGGGGGATGCTAATCTCTGTGTTCTCAGTATCTTTCGGTGGAAGCAGCTAATACAAGCACTGTGCTGCTGTTTCCAGGATGATACGTCAAAATTTTTTTCAATTAATAGTCTCATACTGTGTTTTCAGTGTCCACTTATTTCTAAAATTGATATTTTCTGATTATATTCAGACTGTTCACTATCACCCTGTTGTTCATCGATTTGCCCAAGCAGGCACCAATAACGTCTCCATTTTTCCCTGCCACGTGCTAGTGTAGCCTGATGGCATATTGGGGGCTCTTTCAGGGTCAGGGGAATGAGGACCATCATTGTTACTGTTTTCGGCATACCGAGTACGCCACGGGTAGCTTGCCGTGCGGCCGGAAGACTCTCAGTAGCTTGCCGGGCTCTCCAAGAGGGATGGAGACTTTTGGGGCAGGCTCTAAATCACCTTTACAGGTGTTCCCAGTCAGACTGTTCATTAAAAAAAAAAAAAATTTTTTTTACCAGTAAAACATTCACACATTATTTTACGTTTGGGCATCAGTTGACCCAGGAATCTAAGGTCAATATTACTGAGGGATAATAAAGCCTAATGGATTTTAAATTCAGCTCTTCCTGTCACATTTCATTGTGATTCTGTGCCAGAATATACCGTGGGGAAAACCCCAATGAAATTTTGAACTGAGCTGTGTTTGACAATCTTAGTAAACTACCTTTTCTAGTGGGTAGGGCATTGGTACTTAATTTTGGTTTTTGGTGCATGTACTTTTTCACTGAGATAGATCCTCAGTCCCAGTACTTAGCTTTACTTAGAACAATACTTGGAACTTTCCAGCATTCACCTTTCATTTCTGCCTCCTCCTCATACAACTGCAAACGAGTATCTCTGCCTGTGTACAGGACATTGAGGACAGAATTTACCTGCACTGCAGGTTCTGCAGAGTCCCCTGGTGTCTGTTAGATACACACCAGCCGGGTTATTACCCTTATTCTTTTCCTTTTTTTTTTTTTTTAGTAAAACCTGCGGTCCAGTCAGCCTGTGCCTAAAGAATTGGCCTAAAGTAACGGTGATGGAACCGAGTCTTTAAGTAAATCCCTAAAACCTTTCATCTCTTTTTTTCCCCACCGCGATCTAACCATCTTAATAGTTCAGAAGTGAAAATGCAAAACTGAAACTCTTCAGCTTCAAAAGACTGTATTCAGAGTCTGTTTCCATTATTAAAACCCTGGAATTAACTGTCTTTCCAAGACCACATTTGGAATACGATCCTGAAAGATCCTGAATTTATTTTTAATAATTTGTATATATCTGATTTACCATTAGATTTTTTTACACTGAAAAAAAAAAGCATGCATATGATAATTACAAAGACTAAGTTTCAGGAAATGTAGTCTACTTTAAAGGATCCTTGTTATTTTTCCCTTGTTAATGATTTTGTGGCCTGTGAATTGACATGTTCAGTTTGACTTAGAAAACAGTCACTATATAGCTAGTTATTACTTATTTGTCAGTATTCTTTCATTGTTTCTGAAGTATGGGCATCAGGCAGGTAGGTTGGTTAGAGATCTAACTGTCCATTCCTTGGTTGTTCTCTTTTTCTCTTTTTACACATTTCCCTTTTTCTTTTTTTTTTTTTTGCCTCCCTTAATTTTTCTGTTTTGTTTTGTTATGGCGTTGCCTCTCAGACTATGCTAGAATTTCCACATCTTCCGGTGGAATATTCAGGTTTAAAGGAGTGAAAATAAAATGTATTTTTATTTATCACAGTAACTAAAGAACACACCAGGACTTCACATTCTAAAGTGTAGGAGAAAAGTGGGAAGAAAATTGTCTATGAGCTTCCTGGCATGGTAACAGAATTTTAGATTGAGTAAGTTCATTATTAGATTTAGGAATTCTTGAAAATGATCAGATGTGAAGCATTAGTTTCACACTGTACCTGTCAGGTGTATATTCTCAGCTTGTTAAAGAAATGATCTTATACTGAAATCAAATTGGTATCAGAAAGGTAAGAAATTTTTGTTTTTCTCATAGGATAGATGAGGGGAATCTTTCAGTCATTTGTAATTAAGAATCTGAATAAGAGTTTATAGATTACCCTTAATGCTTATCGAGAAAAATGTATAGAGACTACATTTAACCCCTTTGGTGTGTGAAGCCATTCGTCTTGATCTTGATTCATACAGATTCCAAGATGCTTTATATTAAAGTAGAAATGGCTTTATATTACTCTGAGTTAAATCACACTGGTAATATCAGTCATGATTTTAAGGGGACTTAAAACATATTATAAATATTTATAATAATACAGATAATAGGTATTTCAGTCAATTTCCTACATGCATCAGAAAAGAAAAAACAAGGCCATATTACTGGAGAGTAGACTAGTGCTGCTATTTTAAATTAGAGGCTTATTTTTTTTAAATAGTTTCACTCACAGTATTTGAGTTTTCTATTGACCAATTTTCAGTTACATAAAGGTTTTCTTTCCTGATGTTACTAAAATGATCAGAGTTGTGTAGTACATTAGCTCATGTTTTTCTGCATGTACAGTTGAGACTTTAATAGTTTGAGGAGAGCTAGAATAATGTCTTAAAGGTATGCACTGAATTTTATTACTTTATTACTGTGTAATGGCACTAGTTATGAATCCTGATAACAGAGTTGCCATGTAAATGCAACTGTAGTTTTGTTTTTTTTTTGGGGGGGGGTGGGGGTTGGCTTTTTGGGTCACACCTGGCGATACACAGGGGTTACTCCTGGCTCTTCACTCAGGAATTAGTCCTGGTGGTGTTCAGGGAACCATATGAGATGCTGGAAATCAAACTCGGGTCGTTTGCGTACAAGACAGACGCCATACCCCCTGTGCTATCACTTCAGCCCTGGATCTATAGTCTTGTGCACACAATCCAGTTCCAGAAAATGACCATCAGCTGCAATTGTATGAGCTCCTGGAGTTTTGATAAAATACTGTTATTTTTCTTGTTTTTTTAAATTTATTTTTCTAACTATATATCTGTAGGGCCGGAGCGATAGCACAGCGGGTAGGGCGTTCGCCTTACAAGCGGCCAACATGGCCGACCTGAGTTCGATTCCTCCGCCCTTCTGGGAGAGCCTGGCAAGCTACTGAGAGTATTCGATATGCCAGACACAGTAACAACAAAGTCTCCAATGGAGACGTTACTGGGCCCGCTCGAGCAAATCGACGATCAACGGGAGGGCCTTTACCTTTACCTTTAACTATATATCTGTAATAAACATTTAGACTGTAATTCACATGTGTGTGATACGGGGTAGCAATGATTCAGACTTACAAGGGAAATCAGCGGTTCCCCTTTCTCCTCTGCAATACACATATTCAGCCAACTTGAAGCTCTGTTGATCCCTGCTGAATAGTCAAAATGAGGATTTTGAAGTTACTGTGCTTGAAATTCCTTAGCTCACGTCTGGAAGAACTCCATTGAAAAGCAATGCCCCCATCTTACTGTTTTGCTTCATTCTTAATCCCTTGCAGTGACAGTGATGAGGAGAAGAAAGCAAGAAGAGGCCGATCTCCCAAAGGCGAATTCAAGGATGAAGAGGAGACGGTGACGACCAAGCACATCCACATCACACAGGCCACGGAGACCACCACCACCAGGCACAAGCGCACCGCGCATCCCTCCAAGACCATCGACCTTGGAGCCGCAGCACATTATACTGGGGACAGAGCAAGTCCAGACCAGAACGCCTCGGCCCACACACCTCAGTCTTCAGCCAAGGTGGGGGACGCACAGGGGCCTCCCCCTACACGCCTCTGCCCTCCCGAACCCCGCTTAGAATTGCCACAGGAGAAGGTGTGGGCATGGCCACACACTCCTAGGAAGGATAGATCCTTCAGCCTGGAACCACACAGGGTCATTCATAGTGAGCAGTCTCTTTGGAAGAGGAAGCCTGTCCGGTTGCCGGACACTTGTGCTCTTTTGGAAAGTAGACGTGGCCCTGTAGTTTCATTTGCTAAAGGCTGCGAGTCGGAATGTAGGGTGTTTGGTTCCTGGTGGCCACGACCGCCGGCCACCAAACAGAGAGAGATCCACTAAGGAAGAGGGACTTGGCAGAAGGGCTCAGTGGGGCCTGGGCTCTTCCTAATCTAAAGCCGGTGGCCATGTCAGGAGCCTGGTTGGCCCGGCGCTCTCACTGCCCTTCGTAGGTCAAGGAAAGCCACCCACAACAGGACTGGCCACAAATCTGTCTTGAAACAAATACACCAAAAGGGATATTTAGCGAGAAAGGTACAGGTGTCATTGTGGGTCACTTTCCTCCAGTTCGCCTTGACACAGCTTATTGTCAGGTTAGAAACAGTGGAAAGCTCGGAGAAAGATACTTCTACTGTGTCCTGCAGATTCTGCATGACTCTGAAAGCAGAGCTGCTTGACAAGAACACGTCGGCTTTTGCCAGGTCTCTGCTGGCATGGGGTATATGTCACCATACGGTGCTCCTTTGAGTTTTGATAAAGGCCTTATAATTATAACTCAGCCTGACTTAGGGCCTCTGGTATTTCTTGACTGTCTTAACTTTCCCCTCCTCGGAAGGGCAGCTAATCACCCACATTACAGGACCCGGGAGAGCCTAATTAAATTCATGTAAGCCTGGATGCAGAACACTATCCCCACAGATTCTTAGGAGAATAAATTAAGATGCGTATACCTTGAAGAATAGTAAACACCTATAGTAAGGTAAAGGTAAAAGGTAAAGGCCCTCCCGTTGATCGTCGATTTGCTCGAGCGGGCCCAGTAACGTCTCCATTGGAGACTTTGTTGTTACTGTGTCTGGCATATCCAACACTCTCGGTAGCTTGCCGGGCTCTCCGAGAGGGGCGGAGGAATCGAACTCGGGTCGGCCATGTTGGCCGCTTGTAAGGCGAACGCCTTACCCGCTGTGCTATCAAATCAGAATAAATATATGACATTATCAGTAAGGATTTTATAGTCGCAGTGTAAGACTTTTTTTTTTAATTTGGGAGCCCAGATAGTGCAGGGATTAAAACACTTGCCTTGTGTGTGGCCCACTCCCATGAAATCCCCAGCACCACAAATGGTCTCCTGAGTTATCACCAAGAGTGGCCCAAAGACAGCAAAATAAAATCTCAACTTTACCTTTTGTCTCTTACCACAGAAGTCTTAAAAGGCTGATTCTCAACTATTTTGGATCTCTTTAAACCTTTTTGGACCACAGTATAGTGTCTTCAAGGCTCAAATTAAACTTGCCTAGACAGTGTTTCGTTAGTGCCTAGGAGCTGTGTTCTAAATATAAAATAACAAGGTAAGGGAGCTGCAGCAATGGTGCAGCACGTAGGGACTTTGCCTTGCACGTAGCCAGTCCGGGTTGGATCCCCGGCATCCTAGAGGGTCTTCGAAGCACCGTCGGGAGTAATTCTTGAGTGTAGAGCCAGGAGGAACCCGAGTACTGCCAGATGTGCCCCTCTCCCCCCCAGAAAAAAGAAAAGCACCAAGGTAAACCAAATAATAGAAATATTTAGACGTAGAAAATGTGGGGTATATGTCAGTGTTACTGAAGTGTGCAGATTTGTCTAGTGTTAGTCCTGCATGGGTTGTGGCCTCTAACCCAGGGATCCAGGACCCTGTCACACTGGAAATTTTGAGGGAGCTTCGTGAGGCCAAGCAGGTCAAGGCCGGGGCTGGACATTGGGGTTCTTCACACAGTTCTTAGATGATTGAACAATGTAGCATGCCAGTTTGCTCGGAAGGCGTTTTTAGAGAAAACACAGCAGGGAAAGAAATAGGAAAAAGAGAGAGGTGTGGATGTGAGAAATTTTTACATCCTGGGAACAGAATCGCTTTAGAAATAAATACTACGTCTCTGTCAGGATTTCTAGGTCACTTCCTGTTTTTCAGAGAACTTCATCCACCCTTACACTCTTGAGAGATAGAGGGGTGTGAGCGGGGAATCCGAGAGGAGCAGGGCAGACTCAGAAGCAGCGTGGGAATTCGTCTGCTAAGCTTATCAGCTGTGTGTGTGTGCTTCTTTCAGACTTCAGTGCCTAGCAGCAAATCGTCTGGTGACCTTGTTGATCTGTTTGATGGCACGAGCCAGCCAACAGGTAAACTTCCACATTGGCTCTTCCTTTTTGGTGACCTGCATTTGACATCACTCTTTAAAATGTCAGATAAAGATGCAAAAAAAAAAAAAAATTTTTTTTTTTTTGCATTGGATTCCTTCTTCATTGTCTCGAAAAGAATGCTCTAAATATTTGATAGCTAGCTCAGTTACCAGTTTCTCTTTTTAATTCCTTTAGCACTGTATGGGTTTGGGTTCTTTCCCTTTCTTTCTGTGCATAGTATGCTACTCTGCTCTTGTATTATCTTACCGTAATTCTGCCTAGACCATTAGCCTGCATAGAGTTCATTTAAGCCTTTCATTCCTTTTTTCAAAAATTGTTCTATTGAACCAGACACTGATTTGAGTTGTGTAGTTACAAGCATGTGTAAAACACTTAGGAAGGAAGGGCATTCTTGAAAGTGGGTCCATGGCATGTTCTAAGAACCTTGAGGGGCAAAATACTAAGTCCATTTACCAAGATTTTCTCCTGCGATCCTCAGAACCTAGTTTCTGAGGTTCCCAGTCCCTTTTATAACTGTCACTACAGCCATTCCTCCAGTTGTTCTTCAAACCCTTTAACTGTTGAGCTCAGAGCTACAAACCGCTACAGGAGCTGTTTAACAATTTATTTGCTACCTTTTTGTACGTTTAAGATTTTAACTAGTATTAACTGGCAGTGAGTATGTAGTTAGAGAATTAAGGCATAGTGTCGCAGAATCGCAACTATTTTGGACTTTCCAGCATGAAAGATTAAAGAGCCCCTTTCATGCATCTGAGCTAAGTCTTAATGGAGCAATCAGAGAAGAATTAACTAGGAAGGTCAGATGAGTGGATATAACTATTTTTTCTTCTGTGACATCCAGATTGTACTGAACAGAGAGAATTATTAAACACCAACATGCTTCCTATGAGTGGTTTTTCTTCTCCAGTGCAAATAGATGGATTAAACAGAGGAAGCAGTTAATATCAGCATGGTAATTGAGGCAAATTTTGAATAAAATTTTGAAGGTTTCTTGCTTTGCAGTTGCTCTCAAGTTCTCTGAAACAAAATTGTGTTAGCAGAATTACTTTTTAAGTGTATCTCCTGTTTGAAGCACTATGTTTAGCGAGTCTGTTACCCCAAATGCCTATTTAAATATTGTTAGTAACGCATTCTAACTTGAATTCAGCAGTGGAAAATAAATTGGACATTAAATCATTCACACCTACACATGAGAAAGTCTGAGAAGCTCCTTTATTAGCTTTCCCTCTTTGGGCCGTTTGGGTGTCATTTACCAGATGTGCTTGGGTCTGTCCTAGTACCGCCAGGCAGGTAAGATGGGCATGAACTGGAAAGTGTAGCAGACAGGCATCTGGCCTGCTCGCCAGATAAACACCTCCTTGGAGAAAAGGCTCAGATTCTCTTGCGGCGGCGGGGGCAGGGCGGCAGGGGGAGGATATAGGTTATTAACGCCATCTCGTCACTACCTTCAAAAGTGTACATGGTACATAAAATTGCGTCAGATCTACCAAATTTTAAAACACTGGAAACCCATCACCACGATATCTTTAAAATTGCCTTAGTAAATATCCCACAGCGGTAATATCATTTTAAAATCTGTATTGGTTGATATTTTGGTGGTTTATAGCTATAGATAACACATTTCCGAGAGGGGTGATCGTTGGGGGTCACACCAAGCTCAGCGCTTCCTCCTGCTCCATGCTGGGGGTCCGCCCAGGGCCTCATAAGCAAGCAGGCACCTGAACCCTGTACTCTCTCTCTGGCCCCACTGTACACGGCACGCTTCTAAGGAAACACTTCGAGAGGTAAAGTGTATGCAATCTTTCTTAAATACGCAAATAAGGAATCGATGCCACAGCCGTTCTAATTTTTAGTCTTACCTCTTTAAAAAAGCCCTTTGTCTCCTTTGACCCTTTTTTACTGGATTTAGGTGTTCATTAACCTGTTATTGCCATAAGTTATTCCTAACATAATAAATGACCTTAGAGAGAAAAGACACCTCAGTAGAAAGCCATGTTGCATGATTGGCAGTGTTTTTGGACTCTCTTAGGTAATGATATGTTTTTAATGTGTTTCTGAAATGGCGTTGATGACTAAGAATTCTGCACCAGGGAGCCTGAATCCCTTCATCATTGGCCACTGGGCCCTTTTCCCAAGTCCCCTTCCAACCCTTATTAGCCTTAATTCTGCAGTCAGTCTTAGGGTTCATTAGAAAATAGTATTTAAGGTTGAGGTTTGTCAAATCCAAAACTCCGCACCGGGTCCATCTGAACCCATTTGTAGTTCCAGCACTGTCCGGTTCGTTATCTGCTCCTGTCCCCGGCGCTGAGCTGGAAAGTACCTGCTCCCAGCTGGTGGTTATCCGTAACCACCGCTGCCCTGAAAAGGCAGATGGAAATGGCTCATAAAGAACGTCAGCTCTCTAGTGGGACACGTGAAGGATCACCCTCGTGGTGAAAGTTAGCCGTCTCCCCAAGGCAGCGTTTGGTGGCAGGCTTTATTTAAATCCCCTTAGGTGGGCGTTACCTGGTAAAATGCCCAAGTACAGAAAGTCTCTGTTATTTGAAGGCAGACAGGAATGGATGGACCTTCCTGGGAAAGAAACTTTGTTTTTGTTTTTTTAATTTTGGAGGTAGTTGTCACAGTTAAAGAGAAAATAGTCAGATCTTAAGCAGAAGTAAACACTTATTCTGTGGCACTTCAAGGACAAAAACTGAGCCCTTTCCGGGGAGGCGAGGGAGCCTGTGTGAGAAAGCTTGTGGTCTCCATACTACACCCCCAGTCTTATTTTCTGTCAGTCCATGGCAGGTATATGTGGAAGGAGAAGAGCGTTTGCGCTAAAGAAATGATGCACGGTCTAACGTCACTTTCGGTGTTAGAATCGCAGAATGAATGAAGCGTAGGTAATTCTATGATGTTAAACCTGGTAGACGGCAAAAATAAAATAATCTTACCTGTTTGAAGCTGTGATCAGACAGGCACGATGCTTGCTTCCTCAATACAGAGTTTTCCTTTCTGTAGCCTAGATGGGTTAAGATTTGAAAGATCTCTTGTTTGGCGGATTACATACTAATCACATATTACAGTACATATTATCGCTTCTCTGCTTGGATAAAGCACGTTAAAATAATCCCTCCTTGGGACTATGAACCAGCAGCGGGGTACAACCTATAATACTTCCCTGCTACTTTATATTTGTATTTTTAACAGCTGAAAAATAAAGCTCGGTGATCATTTTGTGTCCCCCATGGTATTTTACTTGGGATGTTTATACCACGAAAGAAGAGAAAAACAAAATCACTGATACTGCCCTTCTAAATAAAACAAAAAGTAGCATAGGAACTGCGGTGTTAGTCCGGGGCAGAAAACCCGGTTTTCTGGCGAGAGTCAGTAGTCCATGGTGAACGAGGAGACATGTGAATACGCGCATCTGTACCGGGGTGAGAGAATGAGAAATTAATTATGCCAGCCGATAGTTGACTCCAGTCAATGTGCATTAAAAAGAAATACCAAATACCCATGGATCAGACGCTGATTGAGTCCCTTTATTACTGTTGGCCATTTATTAAGAAGGGGAGATGGTTCTAGTTTAATTAACCCAGTTGAGTGTAGCAGATGGGGCAGGAATGTCTTGCAGCATTTCAGACGATTCAGAAATGGCACCAGATGTTGGGAGCTGTCCCTGGTGGTGTGTGCGAGGGGCCCAGATGTTCCAGTCCCACCTGGCTGGTTCCTCGGCACTGCAGGCTAAGCAGCTGTGATGTCACCTCCATAATGTTCACATAACACTAAAAGCGCCATCATTGAACTGCTGCTCTAAACTTCTGAAAGTTGTGACTCTTGCAAGGTGAAATCTTTTTAAGGACAAATTAAAACAGGGACACATTTTTTTTTTTTGAGAATTTAGATCCTTTGGTGATTGCTGTCACATTGATCATAGACCGTGTGCAGTGCTAGGGCTTAAACCAGGGTCAGCCACATGCCAGACCAATGCCCTCACCCCTTTATCTCTCTGGCCCCCAAAGGGAAATGGTCTTACCCGTCTAGGGTTTGCAGATAAAAATTGGTATAGGAGTGTGATGTTACACACTCAACTTAATTACCGCTTGATGATCTGAATCGCAAGCCCTCAGTTACCACTAGTTTAAGAAGTAACAGGAAGCTGTTCTACTTCACTGCATTAAATACGCAAGTGGGTTTGGTTTTTATTTATTTTTTTGGCTTTGTGAGTAATCATTGCATTGACCACTTCCTATATCTGATAAAGCTAATTTTAAGTGCAAATAAATTTCAAATTTTCCCTTTTTAAGAAACAATTCAAATCGCCATGTTTTTCCTTATCTAGTTTCTTGGGTGTTTCTGTTGATTTGTGTGCCATTTGAAAGAAAGATTGCAAGCATGTTGACATTTTTGCCCCTAAAATATACTTCCATGTGTATCTCCTTCGCATGAATAGCATGCTCCTTTTATCGTCAGAGTGTAATTATTCTGTCTTGGAAATTGGACGTTAAAACAATACGACGGGGCCAGGCATGTAGCTCAGTATAGCACACACATTGCTGGCACCGGAATAAAAAAGTGTCTCGAAGCTGGAGAGAGAATCCACTGGCACACACACTCTGCATGCAGGCGCCCCAGGTTCGATCCCAGGCTTGATCCCCCTCAAGCACTGTACTGGGAGGAGTGCCTGAGTACTGCCAGTTGTAGCCCCGAAGCACAACAGAAGCTGATTTGTAAGGACGCCTCCGGTTTCCCTGTTGCCTGGATGGTCTCATTCCAGGAGAGCGGCTTCAGAGATCAGGAGCCACACCAGGGCGTGTCCGTTTCCCTTACTGAGGCAGTTTTTCAAGGCCTCTCTAATTCAGAAAACACCCAGCCTCTGCTGTATTCATGACACGGACATTTATCTTGTAAGGAACTTGAGTTGTTTTGCAGAATGTCCCCAAATTTGTATTTATCAGATTCCTTCCTCGTGACTAGCGTCAGGTCAACTCTTTGAGGGCAGGGGCGTTTTCTACACGGGTGATGATGTTGCAGTTGCAGTTCCTTTACAAGGCCCAGGAATGCTGTCTGGTGTAATTACTGATAGCATTACATTGGATCACAGACTTTAAGGTGGTACCCATCTGACTTTTCCATTGTAAAAGTAGTTATGTCCCTTTGTCTTTATTAAGTAAATCTTTTGGGGGCCGAGGCAGAACACCCCCCACGCACACACCCAGAAGTGCTCAGGGATTACTCCTGGCTCTGCACTCAGGGATCACTCTGGCAGGCTTCAGGGGGATTCTAGGGGACACGGGGGATCGAACCAGAATTAGCCACATTCAAGGCAAGTACCCTCCCTACTGTACTTTCTCTCCAACCCCATTCCACTGGTTATTTTTAAGATGTGTGCTAGAACAACTTCTACAGTTGCAACCAGTTGTTCTGTGATTCGAACGATTTAACTGCTTTCTTTGTGCTTCTTTCCTAGGAGGATCAGCTGATTTATTTGGAGGATTTGCTGACTTCAGTTCGGCTGCTGCATTAGGCAATCTCCCTTCCCAAGGTATGATTTGACTTGATTGGCCAGAAATGTAGAGGTGGCCAAAAAAAAGATGATCTAAACAAAATAACTCCCTCTCCCTCAAATCTGCTGCTTTCTGGAATTTTTCTCCTTGTGTTTATAATGCCTAATTAATAATTTATTCATAGTTATTTCATTGCGCCAGTGTCTAATATATTCTAAATGAATTACTTTGATCGCAAACCAGTTAGCTCCACCTCAACAAAATTGTCCTGATCGATGCTATTGTATATTGTGTGGTGGTGGTGGTGGTGGTGGTGGTGGTGGTGGTTTTCTGGTGTTGGGTCCATACCCAGCAGTGCCCGGGGCCTGGTCCCTACCCTAACTACTGTTCAACTGGGTTTATTTTTTATTTATTTATTTTTGGGTCATACCCAGCGATGCTCAGGGCTGACTCCTGGCTCTGCGGTCAGGAATTACTCCTGGCAGTGCTTAGGGGACCATATGGGATGCTAGGGATCGAACCCAGGTCGGCCAAATACAAGACCTGTACTATCTAGACCCTCAATTGGTTTTCTTTTGCAGGGGCAGGCAAAGGAGGGAATATGAGTGTAAGTCTCATTTAGCAGCAAGCATAATTTTAGTGGAGTATAAATTAGATGATTTTCATGAATGAAATTCATGAATGTTTGGATTGAGAGGTATTACTGAAATCCACTATGGACATCTTTAGAGCACTGATGTGAAAAATAACTGAAGTACATTGTAACACATGCTTAAAATCACAGCAGTTGAGCTTCAGGCAAAACTTCCTCACTATGTGTTAGATTAGAAATTTTAAAATGCCCTAGACTTATTACGATGTTCATTTTTGTAATATACAATGATTGAATTAGGTTGCATGCCTAAAACTAATAATTTTTTTATGTTGATTCTGCCTCAAAATATTTAATGCCAATATCCAAGCAGAATATTTACAGGTTTAAGCAACAGTGGTAGAAGTGAAAAATTTATCTTTTTCCTCTGGTTTTATTAACTTTATTTTAGTATTCCTACCCACCACGTTCTGTGGAATCTGTTTAACTTTAGGAAATTCTCTGTACTTCCAACTTCTAGGTTGGGAGCAATGCTATTTGTCATCTACTTTATAAGGATAAAACAGTGCCTGTAGAAAAATGTAGAATACGGAACTGTACTCACTTCCAAGTTTTTTAAGTGGGTTATAATAGTGGGTTTTTTCCCTGTCTTGTCTGTGTGACGATATTTTTTTTTAATAGCTGTAGGAGGGGCTGGAGCGATATAGCACAGCAGGTAAAGGCAGTTGCCTTGCATGCAGCCAACATGGTTGACCCGAGTTCGATTCCTCCACCCCTCTCGGAGAGCCCGCCTAGCTACCGAGAATATCTCGCCCGTACGGCAAAGCCTGGCAAGCTACCCGTGGCGTATTCGATATGCCAAACACAATAACAACAAGTCTCACGATGGAGACGTTACTGGGCCTGCTCGAGCAAATCGATGAACAATGGGAGGACCATGACCGTGACCGTGAGCTGTAGGAACCAGGGAGATAGTGCAGAGGGCTCAAGTGTATGCTTGGCACGCAGAGGCCCCAGGTTTGGTTCCCAGTACACACCACACAGCCTCAGAGCACTGCCTGAGGGACACTGGTGGTCTCCAGCACTGCTTGGAGACCCCCTCCAAAAAAATGTAGCTATAAAGAAGGGCTGGAGCGATAGCACAGCGGTAGGGTGTTCGCCTTACAAGCGGCCAACATGGCCGACCCAAGTTCGATTCCTCCGCCCCTCTCGGAGAGCCCGGCAAGCTACCGAGAGTATTCGATATGCCAGACACAGTAACAACAAAGTCTCCAATGGAGACGTTACTGGGCCCGCTCGAGCAAATCGACGATCAACGGGAGGGCCTTTACCTTTACCTTTTACCTTATAAAGAACATAAACAGCATGCAACAGGAAAGATGGCAATTTAATGCAATTAGTCTATTCATTTCAATTCTAGTTTTCTGTCACTGTTGCATCTGTATTACTTGGCCAAGTATGTTTATTTAGTAATGTTTGGTTTAGGCTTATAAGGATTTAGGAAGAAAGATGTGGAGCTTTAAGGTATTTTTGAGAGCCTCCAACTCAGTACACCCTAAGTATTTCCCAGAAACCAAAATTGTGGAATGATTAGCTGCTTTGTTTTGGAAGTGTAGTTAGGCTTTCAAAGGATCAGTATCTTTGTTTGTTTTTTGAGTCACACCTGGCAATGTTCAGGGGTTATTCCTGCATTCAGGAATTAACTCCTGGCGGTGCTAGGGGACCATTGGAATATCAGGGATCAAACTCAGGGCAGCTGCATTCGAGGCAAATGCCCTCCCTGCTATACTATTGCAACAGCCCCAAGGGGTTACTCTGGTAGTTTAGGCAAATCAGAGTATAAGGCAAGCACGCCTTCAGTTTCATCGGCTGTCCATGTACTTCTTAGAATTCTTATGTATACAAAGTTGCCTGCTATGCAAATAATTTGCATATGTTGATCTTCAAAAGTGAGCTATCCCTTTTACTGTATGCATATGACAGACTGGCCACTGTCACCATTATGAAACTGATCAATCATTTCTGAATAGTCCAGGCCCAACTCGAATATCTGCCCTTTCTCCCGTGAATAATCATCTCCGTTTCAGAAAGTGTTCAGGTGAGGTGACTCGCACCTGTTGTTAGAGTGAATATAAAACTAGCAGAAAGGTCCCGCTTATGGGGCTGGAGAGATAGCACAGTGGGTAGGGCTATTTTGCCTTGCAGACGGCCAACCCGAGTTTGATTCCCAGCATCCCGCATGGTCCCCTGAGCACCGCCAGGAGTAACTCCTGAGTGCAGAGCCAAGAGTAACCCCTGTGTATTGCCAGGTGTGACCCAAAAAGCCAAAAAAAAAAAAAAAGGTCCCATTTATCCAGCAGTCTTTCTTAAATTGTTTAGGATGTAAGACTAATTGTAAAACTCTTCATGAAGTCTCTTGTCAAGATTAAGAACACATTTCAATAAAAAACAAAGTTTTTAAGTATTAGCCCAGTTCTGGTATTAGATTGTTGGTGGAGCTTGGGGTGGTTTGTGAATTATGTTTCTCTTTTCTTAGGGTGTTTATTTGTAATATGGTAATAGAAAAATATTGTAGGGACGGTGTTACTGCTCTCTCTAATATTTAGCATAATGAGACAGTCTTGCAGTGTCGGCTGCCTTGGAGGCGAGACCAAGTGTATTTCCAAGTTGCATGTGAGCACACAGTGCCGAGAGAATGGTGCTAATTAGTTTGAAAATACACACTTTTCGCTCTCAGGTGACAGTTTGTATGAACCTTTGCTTTCTCAACTTCTGTTAATTCATGTTTATCTATTTATCCTTTTCTGAAGGAGAGTCACCTCCTCTGAGCCAGGCGCAGTCTAGTTTAAATACTCCAGCAGTGTCACTTGCTCCTGGACGCCAACGTCCATGTCGTTGCCGCCGCGGCTAGGGACCTGGACTCCCACTTGTGAATGCTCAAGTGCAGCCTGGCCCTTCCCCTGCGTTTCCAGTTAGATCAGGCGCTGCCTGTGCATTTAGTTATTTAATCCTCAGAATTTGACTTTTTTTTTTAAGTAACTACGAAGAAGGTTCAGTAGTTGGCACGGCGTGTAAGATCTAGTGAAGAGGCGACAGCCATGATTTTACACATGGCCACCAGTTAACAGCCGATTGTCCCTTTCTAGAACACGGAATGCCTTGAATTTTATTTATTTTTGCTTTTTGGGTCACATTCAGCGATGTTCAGGGGTTACTCCTGGCTCTGCACTCAGGAATTACTCCTGGCGATGCTTGGAGGACCCTATGGGATGCCAGGGATTGAACTTGGGCTGGCCGAATGCAAAGCAAACACCCTACCCACTGTACTATCACTCAGGTCCATGCCTTGAATTTAAACTTGTTTTCATTGTACTTTTAAGGTACAGTGATGGTTTTGGTTTTTGGTTTTTTTTTTTGTTTTTTTTTTTTTTTAAGATTGGCAGAAGCTTTCCTCTTAAGATTGTTCCCCACTTCTTACTCAATTGAGCAGCTCTGTTGGAAGACAGTGATACACACACTTAAGTTGTAGACACAGTCCCAGTATGGTCAGTGGGAGCGAGACCAAACGCATGACCCCAAACTTTTATTCTTGTTGTTTTCCTCCATGCCCTTCTATCTTGTGTTCCCATAAATTTGATACTATAAATTTGGAGAAACTGATATGAAATGGTATGTACAGTGTAGCTGGCTTTTCCTTTCAGCCTTGCTTGATGAGGAATGAATGGGATGCGCTCAATTTTCTGGTCTCTCCTGAGTTTGTCTTTGCATGAGGCGTCTAGATCTCGCAGAAAAAACTTTAAGCAGTCCTGTTTCTTCCTTGCTTAAGGGTCTCTGACTAGTGGAGTTGAGGCTGTACCTGGCAGTATTTAAGGACAATACTTAAAGCCAGTACTCCTGGCTCAGTGCTCAGGAATCATTCCTGGTGATGTTTGGGGGACAAGACGCAGCACTTTTGATCAAACTGGGGCTGGCTGCAGGCGCGGCCAGCGCCGTATCCCCTGTGCTGTCTCTCTGGCTCATTTTAGCTGGAGGCATATTCGCAAACTTGAATTTGGGTTGTTTTGTTTGTTTCTTGCTGTTTAGCCACACTAGGTGTTGCTCGGGGCTTACTCTCAGCTCTGTGTTGAGGGATTATTTTTGGCAGTTCTCGGGGACCCTTGGAGTGCTGGGGATTGAACCCCAATCAGAGGAGTGTGCAAGGCAAGCGCCCTCCCCACTGTACTGTCTCTGGCCTCTGGGGAACGGAAGTCCTGCTCAAGTTTCGAGTCTTGCTTTAGGCCTGCCAGGAGATGGATTTTACTTCAAGCTAGGAAGATTATTTTCCCCACTTTGCCACCTTGTTAACACTCGTGGAATATTCATGAGGAAGAGAAGTAGGTCCAGATGGAGGTGGTGTCTGCAGGTGCGAATGTGGACGGACACGGATCGGCTCCAATTTGTTTCAGTTCAGAGACTGTTCTGTCTGTCCCGTGGAGTTCAAAAGGCTCCTTCCCCTTTTCCTTGATTCTTCCTCAGTGACGGCGACCAGTGGGAACGGAGACTTCGGTGACTGGAGTGCCTTCAACCAAGCGCCCTCGGGCCCCGCCGCCCCCAGTGCCGAGCTCTTTGGGGGGGCCGCCCCGCAGCCGGCCGCCGAGCTCGTCAGCAGTTCCCAGCCAGCCCTGGGCCCACCGGCAGCCGCCTCCAATTCCGCGGACCTCTTCGACCTGATGGGTTCCTCCCAGGCCACCATGACGTCTTCCCAGAGCATGAATTTCTCCATGATGAGCACGAACACCGTCGGGCTGGGCCTGCCCATGTCGAGATCACAGGTCAGTCTTCTGCCTCCCTTGGAAACTCTTGATTCTTGATATCTGAAGTGGTCTAAGGAAGATAACGGTGACAGGGTGTAGAACAAGAAAGTAGGTGGACGATATGGAAGCTGTTTTTGCATTTACCTTTGTTGGGGGAGCCACACCCAGTGGTGCTTTGGGGAACTGTCCTGGTGGGCTCATGGGACCCTGTGGGATGCTGGGGATTGAAGCCGCAAGCAAGGCAAGAGCCCTACCCACTAGACTATCGCTATGGCCCCCCAAATTACTTGATTCTGTTTTTGAGCCAGTCGTAGCAGTGCTTGGGGTTTACTCCTTGCAGGGCTCGGGAGATCTTATGGCGTGCTGGGGCTCAAACCTGGGTCAGCCACATGCAAGGCAAGCGCCCTGCACTCTTCTCTCCGGCCCCTGCTTTTGTTTGTTGTTATTGTTGCTTTTTGGCCACCCCTGGCGATGGTCAGCGATGGTCAGGGGTGACTCCTGGTTCTGCACTCAGAAATTACTCTTGACGGGGCTCAGGGGACCACATGGGGATGCCAGGGGTCGAACCCAGGCCAATGGTGTGCAAGGCCAGCGCCTGACCTATTGGACTATGGCTCCAGCCCTGGTACTCAGCTTAGAATTGGGCTGGTAGAGTCATTTGGGTTCTAGAGGACATGGCTGCCTTGTCCAGGCGACAGCCAGCACCAGGCCCCATCCCACCTCCCAGAGAGGAGATGGCATCTGTGTCATCTGGCCACCCACGGGCACAGCCGCTCTCCCCCACCCGGGCCCACCGGCTCATCTTTCACCTCTGTGGAACCTCAAGACAAACCCTGAAATGGGAACTTTGACTTTTTTTGAGTGTTGAGTCTAATTTTACTGGCTTAGGATCCAATGACGTACTTACAGAGTGAAAATGTGTCTTGAGTAGTAATTTGCTGCTTTAAATTCAAAACTAGAGAGGGTATTTGTTCATGATACTAATGATTCGTGTTAATATGTAGAGTCCCCTCTTTCGAGTGTTAGGATGAAGGAAGAGAAGAAAGAAGCAGAAAGGTAATTTCTCGGTAACAAATTAGACCCGCCGTTGAGGAAAAAGAACGTGAGAGCCACATAGACACCATAAAGTGAAATCCCGCACCGGCTGGGCGGCCAGTGTGTGCTCTCAGTTTGCTTTCATGTGATTTAAGAATAAATCATATCTGCTTATCTGTAGACTTAATTGTAACACTATTGCGGATCCTTGGCATTTTTCTATTCTGACTTCCCCTTCTAGCCTTTTTTCTCCCCTTCCCACGGTTTTCTTGAGTAACCTCTGCTTCTTTCTCCTGAATGTCTCCTTCCTCCTGAATGTATATAATCTCAGTTCCATCGGTTGCTTAACTTGAAGTGATGAAAGTTCCATATGGCAGGGAAATATCAGTCAGGACGTCTGAAATATGATACACTAGTTTGATAAGTTTTCGTAACAGGAGGAGTCAGATGCTAAATTTCTTCTGCTCCCTCACCCCAGGGCATGCATTTGCTCCACACCGGACCAGTCTGGTGGTCATTTCCCTGGCTCTAGACTCCGGGTGTTGGGAAGATAAATGCTGCCCTAAACATGTTATCTCCCTCATTCGTGTTTTGGGGAGCTGGGGAGTTCAGGGTCTGTTAGCAAACACGGCTCTGTCTCAGGAAGTTGATCATAGACACCAGTAACTATTTAGCATTATGACGAGTAGATCTGATAATCTGCCTAGAACAGATACTTAAGTTTTAGAGCATTTCTCTCTTTTCCAGCCTTTGCAAAATATTAGCACAATGCTGCAGAAGCCTAATCCTCTCTATAATCAGAATGCAGATATGGTCCAGAAATCGGTCAGCAAAACCCTGCCCTCGACGTGGTCTGACCCCAGCGTCAACATCAGCCTAGACAACTTACTACCTGGTATGCAGCCTTCCAAACCCCAGCAGCCATCGCTGAATACAATGATTCAGCAGAGTAAGTCACGCCACGGCCAGACAGCCCGTTTCTCTGGGTGCTGATCTTCTTTTGCCCTGACGCCAGGACTCCTTCAGGCGTTGAAATGCCAACACTGAACACACTCCGCCCCGGGGTGGGGGGGGTGGGGGGTGGGGGGGGTGGGGGGCGGGGCTGTGCGCGTTCACTTGGCCACCTGAACAGCTAAGCATTCTGCTTCAGGCACGACGACATTTATTGTGTTGTGGCGAATTTCAAGGGCCTGACAATAAAATTCAAATGTTTATGCTAGGAAACTGAAGTTTAGGCAAATGTGGCGAGCAAACAAACGTCGTCTCAACTCCACTGGGGATGGGTTAATCACCCAATCCACATTTTCAATGCTTAAGATCTTTCTATCTTGTGTTTGCATTTTTCATTCAGTGTGGAATTATAATTTTTTTGTGTGTGTTAAATATTTTTTCTGGAGAAGTAATTTAGGGATCTTTATAATTTGCCATCTTGTCAGTGTACCATTGTTGGTAATTTCCTTTATATCCACCTTTTTACCTTTACAATTTCTCAATTTTTGCATAAATACTCATGCTTGTGATTTTCCCCTTAACTTACTAAACACAGAATGAGTCAAATTCATCAGATTTTGCAGGAATGATTTTACACTGGCTCGTATTTTCCTGGGCCTACTCTTCCTATTTCTACATCTTTGGGAAATCAAGGCCCTAGACAGCTAGGAAAAACTTCTCCAGCTGATCGAACTTGTTAGAGGGGCATTTTAGACGAATAGTGGGCAGGAGGATTATGGTTTTGTTTGTTTTTTTCCTACCCTTTGAATTTCCAGAATCCAGTATGGTGTAAAGTTCTTTGTCTGTTTTCTTCTGGTAGACATGCAACAGCCTATGAATGTGATGACCCAAAGCTTTGGCGCCGTGAACCTCAGTTCTCCATCGAACATGCTTCCTGTCCGGCCTCAGACTAACCCTCTCATGGGGTCTCCCATGCCCATGGGCATGCCCGGTGTGATGACTGGCACCATGGGCATGGCCCCGCTCGGAAACAGCACGGTGATGAACCAGAGCATGATGGGCATGAACGTGAACTTGGGAATGTCAGCGGCAGGGATGGGCCTGACGGGCACCATGGGAATGGGCGTGCCCAACCTAGCAATGACCTCGGGGACTCTGCCACCCAAGCAAGACGCCTTTGCGAATTTTGCCAACTTTAGCAAATAAGAGACGGAAAAAGGAGCAGAGCGATGAAGGATTATTAGCCGTGCAGATAGGTGATGCTGGGGGTGGAAAATGCTAATCAACTCCCCTTTCTTGATTTATCAATTAATTCCAATAAACCTGCATAAAGAACCAAAAAAGGCTGTTTTCTAAAAGTGATATATCTGTCATTTCCGATGGCCAGACAAGAGCACTTCAGACGAGACAGCTAGAATCTCTTTCCCAGCGAGACCAGAGCAGATGGGATAGCGAGACCAGTGAAAGCCTTTCTATATATCAAATGCAGAGCCCATTTTAACATCATAATTTGTGGGAAGACTGGAATAGGGCTGAATAAATGTTTGAATCTCTAATTTTATACTTTTCCTTTTCCTGAGGAACTTGATTTTTCTGTCCCTGAATCTCCTTGTCATAATTGGGTCTGTTCCTTTTACTATCACTTGAGTCCATATATGAAATCATTAAAGTTGGATGACCAGTTTTTTATAAAAATATATATTTTTGTCCAAAAAAAAAAGGCATACATATGTGATTATGGCTAAATCAAAGGTAACTGGAATGTATATACTTTTGCTAATGTTCCAGCAACACTGCTATTATAATACTATCCAAATTTTTATTGTAACAAATCTTTAAGCAATTGGTGACAATGCAACAGAACTTTTCACATCTCTTCTGCTATAATTATCCTCCGCGGAAGTAGGGAAAAATATTTTTTTTTCAGGACTGCTTATGGTTTCCTTTAAACATAAAAGGAAAAATTTAAAAATCCTCCAGTATTTTCGTTTTTAGCAGTCATGATTTGCAATTTGCAGTGAGTAACTTGGCAAGGGTTCCTTTCGTGTTTATGCCAGGGGTCACCATTAACAGTCAGGAACAGTCAAAGAGAAAAATATTTATTTTTATGCTTTTGGTGTCTTTTCCAGAAACTGAAAAGGTAAAAATCCACTAAACTCTTAAGTTAAATATAAAAGTTAGAACTCCACAATGGTGGCTTTTAGATTTTTATACAGTGTTTGGTTTGGTTTTGAATGTATATAACACAGCATTAGCAATATGGGTACAATAGAAAGGAGTTACATATATATTATTAAAGGAGACCTGTAGCAGTCAAAGATTTTATTGATTTAATGGCAAATAAAGGAAGTTAATTAAAAAAAATTTTTTTTCCTGCTGTAATTCTGCATTAAGCTCACATGAGAATCATGATTCTAGAGTCTGGAATGCAAAAATAAATTGTTTTCCCCTCAGGTTGGGGATATTTTTAAAAATAAATACTATAATATAGGTATCAAATTATTACCTTCCCACTTTGTGTTGAAAATTTTTTTATTAAATTGATAAAAACTTTGTTTGCATTGTATTCATAATGTTCTGTTATACATAACATTAAAATGTTCATTAAAATCAATGTTGAACTGCTTTTTCTTTCATTCTGTTAGACATTTGAGACCGTTTGGGGAAAAATAATTATAATTTGGGCAAAGTAATTTTTATAAATAATTTAAAGTTATTTAATGACTTCTCTATTCTTTCTTATTAGGCGCTACTGTTAGAAATTAAAAATGAAGCCGCGCAGATATCCTGACCTGCTCCCTTCTTGCTAATGTTCCATCTACAACGTTTCTAATTAGGCAGAAATTCATGTACTTCAGCTAAGTGGTAATGAAAAGTGATTCATTTGCTGAATAAGAGATGAGAGAGTGTAATTAGCTGACTGCGGTTTTTAATCTTTCAACAATTCAATGTGTTTAAATTAGTTTCAAAGAATAGGAGCTTTCAAGTGTTGTTACTTCAGAGCAATCAAGCCCGGCCCTGCTGGCAACGTGGAGAACATCTTCACTGATCTTCAAAGCCCAGAAACTACCTAGATGTGGCCTTTTAAACAGAGATTTTATTTTAGCATCACTTTTCCAACCTAGGGGATTCTGGGAAAAAGTAAACTGTTTCTGGACTTCTGTGTTTAAATTTTTTTTTATATAAAATGAGGATTAATCTTCGTGATTTTCTGTACTTGCCTTTTTCCTATATCTCCAAGGACAAAAGGGAACCCCAGCACGATCCCTGACCCCCAAGGATTTTATTTTCTCATCAGTATATTTTTTTGCGCCATGCGGGGAACCGGAATTGTGTCACTGGGGAGCTGTCCAATGAAATTTGCTACAAATACTTATAAAATCGTTTGAAGTTGGAAGGAAACATTGGTCCTTTTTACCCTCTTCAATAGTTCCTTTGTTGTATCCGTTTTCCATTCTGCCTAATATTTTGGGCAGAAAAATTTACTGTTCTAATAATTTAAATATAACAAGTGAACTATGACTCCAGATTCATTTTTGGTTTCCCTGGAGATTTCTCTACACAGTACTGTCCAGCAGTACTTTTTGTTTGCTTAAAATAAGCTGCTTAAATTATCCCTTTAATACTGTGGCTTTGGGGGATCCTCACCAGGAAATTAAGACCGGTGGGTACTTCTGCTTGAATGCTCTCAAGTATCTGCAAGCATCTCAACAAATAGGTTTCCTTCCTCACTTTAAAGGTAAAGGTTTTACCTTTACAGAACTTTACAGAGTAGTGTTCTAGCTTTTTTTTTTTTTTTTTTTTTTTGGTTCACATCCAGCAATGCTCAGCAGTTCCTCCTGGCTCCACTCAGGAATTACTCCTGGCGGTGCTTGGGGGACCCTATGGGATGCCGGGGATCAAACCCGGGTCAGCCGTGTGCAAGGCAATCACCCTACCTGCTGGACTGTCACTCCGGCCCTGTTCTAGCTTTTTCTAGCTAAGCTCTTAGGAGGAAGCAAAGGGACTGCAGGAGACCTTACATCCAGGGGATTTCTGGAGCAAAATGGCCTCATGTTTCAGCTCTTTGAAGATGGTGCTGTGCTGTGATGAAAACCTGGATTTGGAAGCAGACAGATGTGCCCCGTTTCATCTATTCACTGACTCTAATTGGTATATTTGATTTCTCTGGACCCTAAAAATTGGTAAAAAGGAATTTACAGTCTGGAAATAGTCAGTTCTGCAACACAAACTGTCATTATAAACGTCCCTCTGCCGCCCGCTTTTATCTTGACAGAGTTGCGTGTAGATTTCAAGAACTTTGCTTGTTCTCATCACCGGACTGAACACGTCATGTGCACGTCATTTACCCTGCAGAGGAAAACCTGCAAGTCTTATTCCAAAAAGCAGTGGCGTTGAAGCTGGAGTGACTCTTCTAGATTGACTGCTGAGAGAGGATTTTTTTATTTTCCTGTTGCCTGAATTTTAATTCTGCTTGTTCTTTTTAACAGGCCAGGCTGCTGTAAATCGGCTGTCGTGTGAACTTCCCGACTCGCTGGGTTTATGCACGTTACTGCAGCAGGGAGGATGCGCTCTGAACAGACCCCCGAGGAAGGAAACTGCTACCTTCGTCGCAGGACCTGGCTTTTAGAAACAGTCACAATTTTAAGTGTTTCCGCTGACTTCTAGCCGTTTAGTTGCATAAGACCTTGCTGTTCTATTACCAGATCGGTAATCGGATATGAAAAAAATCACCCACGATTTTTCTGTTGTTCTTTTTTGGCGGGGGCAAGGGAGAGGGGGAGATGCTTGGGAGACCATCGGTGAACCACATGCAGGGCAAGTGCCTCGGTGGCCCAGAAGAAGCTAATTTGGCTTGCTTGGAACCACAGATTCTTTTTTTTTTCTTTTTGGCTCACACCCCGTGATACTCAGGGGTTACTCCTAACTCACTCGGGAATTGCCTCCTGGTGGTGCTTGGGGGACCTTATGGAATGCCAGGGGTCACTCCAGCAGCCCACCTCTAATTCTTACATATCTTCATTAACAATGGCAGTTTTGGGGCTGGAGTGATCACACAGCAGGCAGGGTGTTTTCCTTGCACGCAGCCGACCTGGGTTCGATTCCCAGCATCCCATAGGGTCCCCCAAGCACTGCCAGGAGTATCCCCTGTGCATCACTGGGCGTGACCCAAAAAGAAAAAAAAAAGGCAGTCTTGCTTAAGCCTTGTTCTGCCAGACATAAGCCACCCCTTGGACCCCGTACACTGTCTTGCCCCCACTCTCCGGCAGTGTACAAGCAGCAAATTAGATGCTTCCACACTCTGGGATTCGAGTGATTCCCGAGTCATGATGGACACACCTGGGTTCATTTGTTGCAGTTCTATTCTTCTACCAGAGCCCTGAGTTCGAAAACCCGACATTTCTTTGCTATTTGATTTTTCATATTTAATTCTGTTCTTTAAATATAACTCCTGCGATTAAATACCACATTTAACAAATATATTTTCTATAATGTGTATAATCATTCTTTGTCTATTCGTGATGAGGGAAGAGGGCTTAGAGTTGCACTGCAGAGCAGTTTGGTTTTCACATTCCTGTTACATCCTTAAAAATTCAGTCTCAGGTACTGGAGCAATAGTACAGTAGGGAAGACATTTGCCTTGCAAGCAGCTGACCCGGGTTCGATTCCCAGCATCCCATATGGTCCCCCAAGCACCACCAGGAGTGATTCCTAAGTGCAGAGCTAGGAGCAACCCCTGAGCATCGCCGGGTGTAACCCAAAAAGCAAAATACAAAATTCATCCCCCAAGGCTGGGGAGAGAGTGGAGAGGTTCTTGCCTCACACTCCCCAGATCTGAACACCTGAAGGGAGGCCCAAGAAAACAAGTGACAGGCCGTAGTAGGCATAAGAGAACGTAGCCGTCATCCCTGATCAGGGAAATGTAAATCAAAACAATGAGGTACCATCTCCCACCAGTGAGAATGACATCTCTCAAAAAGAACTGGAAATAGCCAAGGAGATAATGGGGGGTAAGGCGCTTGCCCTGCACACAGCCAACCTGGGTTCACTCCCCAGTACCACACGTGGTCCCCTGCAGATTGCCAAAAGTGATTCCTGAGCACAGCCAAAGGGTACAGCCTCCATCCAGAAAAAAGCAAACGAAATGGCCAGAGAGATAGTACAAGGTTATGGCTTTGCACCCAACTGACCTCAGCTGGAGACTTGGCACTGTGTGTGGTCCCCTGAGCACCCACAAAGGAGCCTGTAGCACAGAACTAGGACCCCAAATAAAAGGCTGAAGGCAACCTGAGTTGGCAAGGTTGTGGTGAAAATGGAACCCTAGACAGAACAAGTGAACGGACAGTATCAAAAGCATATGGCAACTTCTAAAATAAAAGTACAACAGAAAAAAAAAAATTAAAAAAAAAAAAGTACAACAGCACTTCCAAATGACCAACACATCTACTGTCCGGCATGTACCCCCAAACACAAAACGTCCATTTGAAAAGACGTTCACCTGTGTTCATTACAGCACCAAGTACAACAGCCAGGCTACAGAAACAGCCTACATGTCCCAGGACAGATTGATAAAAGAAGTTTTGGTCTACATACACAATGCAGGGGCTGGAGAGATACTGTTTGCTTTGCACTTGCCTTGCACAGGACTCCCCGAGCCTGCAAGGAGCGAGCACAGAGCCAGGAGTAAACCCTGAGCACTGCCAAGTATATCCCCAACCCCCTCAAACCAAAATAAATACACAGGGAATACTACTCAGCTCTAAGAAAAAGTAAAAGCTGGTCAGTTGGCTGCGCATAGCATCGGAGGGCATCCTGCCACATAAAGGAAGGCAGAGGGAGAAGGGGGATATACCAGATGATCTTCCTCTGGTATAAGAGAACAGATAATATCGAAGAGTAACTGATCCCTAACCTTGGAGTCTGCAAAACTGAGTAACAGAGCAGTGGACTGGGGTGGTGAGGGTCAAAGGAAGAAATGCAGCACAATGACAGAAGGACAAGGTCTGGCGCTTGTTTGCAGTGGTGAAGCTGTGGTGGTTTTTGTGCATCAATAATAAACACTAGGCAGAATGTCCTGACCCCATGCTAGGCTGTCTTCACCAGTGCACCTCGGAGAGGGGCGGGTTGAGTTTCCCTCTTCGCCCCAAGCAGAACCCCAGCATCTGAAAACCTCCAGAACCCAACTGCCACCATGCTCAAGGTCACTCTCCACACGCTCAGACAAGCCTCACCCAAGAGGGAGCCAGCAGAAAAACCCAGGTTTGTGGGAACCTGCGACTGAGATCGCCAAGCCGGCTCGGAGCGGGACTGGGCCTCCTCCCCGCAGCTCCCCAGTTTTCCAGTAGCTTGGCAGTCACACCCACAAACTGCTCCCTGCGCCGTGTAATCTCATCAACAGCCAAGACCCAGAGACTATAAACTAAAGCTCCCAGAAGAGAGTGCCACAGAATTTCCTGGAGTGCTCGGCCACATTCGCAGCCGTGTGACCTCTTCTTATACTCTAACCCACTTACGTACCAAAAGTAGCACACATTTGTTTGGTTTTAATATACTTGCTTGTATTCTCTTATATTTGGGCTTAAATGGCTCCAGAATGAAATACAGCAACCTTCA